GTCCAATTAGCAATTAGAGAACTAACAGCACCAACTGGTAAGAGTAAATTGATAGAAGGCTGACCTAAATCTCCTGAATAACCAGTGGGCTCTATTAATTGTATGTGTGGAGTGGCAATTGAACAGCAACACTGTCAGCAGGAGATGAGTTGAAATTGGGTGCGCTTTTACTTCCTCTTTGGAAAACAGATATGTAGCCTGGCAGAGGTCTACCATTGGGGGTGAATGGAATGGGTTTTGTCCAGACATTTTGTTTTGTGTAAGGCTGCTTGCGTAGCCTTGTGCCACATGTCAGAGGAGGATAATGTTGTTTTTCAGGCAGTGCTTTGAGGTCTTTCATTACAAAAAATCTGAAATGTCAGCTAATTTGTAGTTACTTCTCAGAAGGGACTAGTACTGGTCCCTTCGCAGAAGTGGCTGAGTCATTTGCTAACTTCAAGTGAGGATCAAAACTGGATCAGAAATACTAGGATTTCTGTAGTATTTAAATCTTCTAGTAAAAACATGATCAAGAACCTAAGCTAGTATATTCCTGCTTTATTTGACAGTGTTTCTGAGGTCCAGAAGAGTAAAAATACATGTGCCATCTCTTCTTCCCTACCCCCATATGAGCTAAATTTTATCTTTATGAATGTGTTCTTCAGTTCCTGACTTTTTCCCCTCAGCAATTTGTTCTGCAAGTGTGTAAGGTGTTCTGCATTCATTTGGTTTATTCTAATGTTTGTTTTGTCATTTTTCTATAGTGTTAAATGATTGTGAGTAGATGATAAACACACTTATCTGACTTGTGAAGTTTCACACACAAAAATTCAGTATTTTATTGTTATACCTTACTTTTTAAATCTTTTTCTTTCATAACTACTTAGTTTTACCTTCAGATTTTAGTAGTTCAAGCATTTAAAAAAATACAAATACAAAAATATAGCTAATTGTATCCCATATAAAGGCAGCAATCTCAGTTGTTTTCAGATGTACTTACATAGCCAATTTTCCTTTTGAATTATTTCTGCAAGATGCTTTTTTCAGTGTGTTTGTAGCTATCTTGTGAAGTCAGCTGGAAATTTTTTTTTTTTCCCCAGTTAAAAATATGAATAGTCGTCCACGTCTCCTTCTCATGTAGGCCAGTGGAATGCAAAGTTTGCATTTAAAAGTAAAAAAATTCTGCCAGTATGTTTTTCAGAACATATGTTCAATACCTGTTTTATAAAGTGTATAGCTGACATTCAGAAATTATTTCCTTAAAAATATCTTGTTTTCTGCCTGTGGGTATCAAGCGCAGGCCTCATCAAAGGTCAGAAAATATTCTCAAAACAGTGTAGCTTCTTAGCAATTTAAATAAGAATTTTTATTCCTTCATGTTAAATATTAATACTTGTAATATCAGAAACTCTCTTGCCTCTCATGGGACAGCAAGATTACCGGGTCAAAAGGATGCGTTTTCTTCCTTACAGGCATTATACCTTTATGAAAGGTTCAGCTGAAGTGGGTCTTGCATATTTATTGACATTTCTTCAAGGAATGCTTTTTTTTCCCCCTGAATCTTTCTATCTATGAAGATTTTGGCACCCACAATTACTTAGTCAGTATAACACGTTTAAGAATGTGATTATGAATATAGTTTGACAAAAAAAGTCATACTTCTTGTAAGAAAAGTATTTCAGTTATCTCAGGTTTTGTGTAACTTCTGGGGAAGGACATTCTTAATCTCAGTATTTTTCCACTACTGTTTAATATAAAGGGGCAATAGGATATACAGCTTAATTTAATTTTCACCTTCAATACATGAAGACATTTGGAGTCTGTGTTTCAGTACATGCAGCTTGCACCACATTTTTACACAACAAGAGTTAAGAAAGCAGTCAAAAATTTTATTCATGCTATAAAGAAGTATTAGTTTTAATTTGCTTTCTCCACATATAGCACAGTCTAGAAGAGGGTTTTATTGGTTAGTAAGCCTTGTGCTTTGATTTTGCAGTTAAATGTTTGCATTACAAGTTAAGGTGTAATCTAGCAATGCAGCTACAGTTCCTGATATATTTAAGTATATCTGCTGAATAACACAACCTATTTCCCCATTGCAAATAATATGCTTATCTAGGTTATGTTTAATTTATCCTGTTAGGCAATATTTGTGTTGTTGCTGTAAAATTGTATTAGAAAAAGCCATGTGGATTTAAGAAATTGATATCTTACCTGTTCAGTATGTTTAGACAATACAAACTGTTGAGCTCCTGTGAAAACAGTTTCACCAAGACCTACTGAGGAAATTCTTTCCAAGTATGAATGCTGATGCAGAGCTGTGTGCAGCAGCTAAAAAGTTCCTCCTTTCTAGAGGTTTGCGTGGATTTTCTGTGTAAACAAGCATTGTTCAAGATTATAAGCAGGATAAGTAACTGTGGTCTTTAAGGGTACAATTAGAGGCTCCTGAGACCTTGCGGGGCAGCTGAAGCCTTGGAACATAGATGAGTATGCAAAATCACCTGTGGTAGGATCGGATGATGGCCAGCTGAATGAATGTTGAGTTATACTGTTCTTTATTGCTTAGAGCAATATTCCAACAGTAGTTGTTAATCAGTTACTGCCTCAGTTGTACACATTACATCTAACCTAATGCTTGAAACAAGACAGCATGTGTGTACTAACAAAAACCATGCCAGCTCATTCACATGCTTAACTGACCCATTACTACAAATTTAACTACTAGTACCAGCACCTCCCCATAGCAACACCATGGAATTTGTCATCCCATACACTGCTCAAGGAGTGATGGGGAGGTATCTGCACTGATGGTTGCCATCAGCTGTCACTCATCTGGGGGTAATTTGACTGATGTTGACCAGGGTCCATATATGTATGTTCTCTCTGCAAAGACTGAAGGCAGAGTCTTCCCTTTTTGCTGTTCAGCAGGCAGCACACCAGCATCTTCAAAGGAACTTCCCCAGTACTGGCCTGCTGTAACTTGTGCATTGCATAGCTTGCTTAGTCACTTTTTTTTTTCTGACAAACCATGTCATTATGCAGTTAGTTTCGACTATGGAGCTTACAGTTCAACCATTAGTTTTGTTTCTCTACAGTCATTTTAAAACCACAGTTCAAAGACATTTGTGTTGGGCAGTTTTAAGTGCAACAGGAAGGTTGTGCAAACTCCACCACAGATCTTAGACTTACATAAGTATCTTGTCCAGTTACCAGGTGAGAAACACTGGTACATATTTTGTATTACAACAGCTGATGTGTTTACAGCCTGCAGTGTAAGATGGAGTGTATATGCTACCCAGCAGCTTCTGTATGGAACATATGAAAGGTTTAGTATCTTCACTGAGAAGTGTTTAAGGATCCATAAATCATAAGGAGTTGAAAATGATTGCTGCAAATCTCACCTGCGTGCAATTTACAGTGACAGTTTGGGAGCTGTTGACAGTGTCTCACAGAAGTCTCCGACAGTTTTCGAAGCTGACCATAATGAAAGCTTGGCTATTTATTTTGAGGCCAATTATTTGATACACACTTGCAACAAATGTTAGAAAACCTGATGTTTGACATTGAATTAGTCTTTTGATAAATTGTTAACAATGTCAAAAGCAGGTGCGCCCTGGGAGCTTCCTGCCTGTAGTCATGATTTTAGTATAGGTTCAAGAGAGGTCTCAAGCTCTTCCATAAATAACAGTGATCCTTGTATCCAGCTGCTTACATCACATTATTTGGATGCTCTTTAAGCTTCCAGCTAAACTTCTCCTTGGTGTCCTTGGTAAAAGCAGCTGTCACCTCTGCCTCTCCAGCCACAGGCAGATTTTCTTTGCAGCTGCAAGGAGTAAACTAAGGCTCTGAGAACATCAGTAGTATGTATGTCATGTGGCACAGCATCTCAGTGCGAGGACTAATTCTTCAGGTATCATTTGGAATCACTTGTTTCTATCTGGCTCCTTGACCTGTGCGTTCCTCTCAGTTGTATACCAGAAACCTTTCTTTTCCTTTCCTGCCATCTCTGTCAGCTGAATCATGGAAACTGAGTAGAACCATAGAATCATGGAAAATGAGGCTGGAAGGCATCTCAGAGGGTCTGGTCTGAGCCCTGGCCCTGCTTAGAGCAGTGCTGACTTTGACCAGCTTGCTCAGGATGGAAACATTCATGTCCCAGACCAGAATCTGTATTGTGGTGCTCAAAAACTTTCTTGCTTATGTCTCTCAAAGCAAAAATAAGTGTGAATCACTGATATCCCTCTCACCTGGGATAGAACAGCAAATCTATCCACTTTTCCCCCACTGTATTTTGAGGTAAAAGAACTGAACCTGTTGTAGTGAATATGAGAGTGCTTTACCATAAAACTGTGTGTTGCTGTGATAGTTGCATTAAGAGTAATATGTGTGTTTCTCTGTAATTGAATGATCTGTCTGACATGTCTCGGTTTTTATAGTCTCATATGCTGATCACATGCTGGGACTGAGGTAGTGTCAAGAAAAAGTATAGAAGGAGATATAAGACTATAGCTAGTTGAGTTAGATATACTGAAACTGTTTTCTAAAACAGCAATAAAAATGGAGGCAATTGCAAGCTTTGCCTAATGAGAAACTTTTTAGTCAGACAAGCACTGTGGCGGAAAGAATTACTTGTCTCTGGGTGAAACCTCCGTGCCTATGCACTTCTGAGCTGTATGAGGTTGTTAAGTAGCTAAAATGTGGTTTCATTTCTTCCTTCAAAGTGAATTTATGAATAGAAGTTATTCTTAAAGGTGCAAAACTTACCTGAAACGTTTCTGCCAACATAATAGAAAATCATATGAAGAGGTAGCCAATTTTGCTTTAAATATGAAAGTATGTTATATCTGTAAATAGTCTTTATTTGTAGTACTGCTGTCATCTGAAATGTGTTGACTGATTTACAATGCTTTTAGTGTTCTCTACTTCTCTTACTTCTCTTTTGAACTGCAGCATTTAAAATCATAGATATGTTAGTATTGCTGAAACTTCACATACCTTACTGGTTTGCTTTCTCTTTTTAGGTGTCTTGGCTTTTTAATCCAACAAGAAGTGAAATAACAAGTCTAGATAGTGGAAATATAGATGACATTTTAAGTGAGTACTTGTTTGTTTTTTTCTTTGTACTTATACCGTCACTTATCTGTGTGAATCTTGCAGTGTTAACGAAATGAATATACATACTCCAGCTTTGAAAATATGAATTGCAATCGGCATAGAAGTATTAGGTGCTTGTGATCAAAATTGGATGTCTAAGCTAACATACTGCCTAGCAAATTACTTCGTTGTAGTCTCAGTGAGGATTTGAAGTGTCTTAAGAAAAATACCTGGTACCTTGTTGGCAGATGGGAATGCTTGATTACATAACCAAAGAGCATTTTAAAAGCTCCCAAAAACCCAGCAGCAACCAAAACCCACGGTGATGGGCCTTATGTATCTTGCTTCTTCAGTTACACTTTTCCTCAGATTAAGTGTTGTCCTGATTCTGGTGGCTCATAGAAAGGAGACTCATAAATTAAACAGATGTGTGTTCCTTGTCTGAAAAGTATGCAGTTTGCCTGTATCTGGTTGACTTCACAGGACAAAAGTTGGTACATTGTTTCACATACATTGAGGGGAAAAAAAAAATCTTTGTATACTTTTATTTAAGTCTACTGGAATCCACCTATTGCAGGATTGCTTTGTGTACTATATGTATGATTAGGTGCTACAAGATCTGTTTGTAAATACCTTTTATACAGTGGTAAATATAAAATCCTTTTGTAAAATGTTATTCACAAAAGAGAAGTATATGTCAAGTGTAAGTACTTCTTACATTTATCCAGTTACTTTCAGTAAATACTTTATGCCTTGGAGGTAACCCTGAATTTCTTTGTGCTTGTTAATTTCCAGTTTACTGCTTGCATTCCTTGCTGATAAGGAAAATCTTAATGCCCTAATTTTTATCAAAACTAGTTTTTCTCAGCCTTCTTGAGAGTCGCCTTTTCCAGGCTTCCAACATCTTAATATTCACCTGTAACTGCTTCATATCTTTGTCAATAGTGCAAATCTGTCTAGCAACATTTCTGCTCTATAAGGCTATCCTTGATATTCTATAGTTTTAGTATTTATTTCAAGGTTTTTTCAGTGTGTCTAGGCCACTACTACTAATAAAAATCAATTTACAGTGTGGTTGCTATATTGTGTGAGATCACTATTTATTTCTGGGCAGGAGATGTATCCTCCTAGTTTTGATATATTTTGCTATTTTTTTCTGTATGTGAAAAAAAAATGTATGGGAGCATTGTTTCACTACCTTATCTCATATATCCCTATAGTACTGCATTTTTTTTCAAGCGTTCCATAGCATTTCTCTTTTCTGGAAACTGAAGATTTCTCTGCTACCATTTGTCTTGGTATCAAGCTTCTTAGCAAATAAGGCAGGTACCAGAGCAAGCTGAACAGCCAGGCTGCATGTTGGTCATTCTTCTAACCCCAAAATATTTCATCTTTTAAGTGTTTTTATAACACTTATGAATAATCTAGATAATGCTTAAAAGGTTAATAGTAGAGTACAACTTCTGGCTTTGAGTGCCTTAATTTTAAATCCAGAATTACTTTTTGTCTCATGTGTCACTTAATTACTTCTTTTGTGTCTTAATACCTTAACTATTGACATTTTTAATGTCTAATATATCAATAAAGTCAATAAAATACTTGACTGAAGGCCTCTTTCATCACTTTCCCATTTGATATAGATTATATTTCAGATAAGATTTATCCTACCAGTTTTCTAGCAGACTAAGTTGTACGCTGAATAATCTAGAAATATTTGCTTTTGTAGGTTCTGTGAGTATTTTTATAATCTTAGATAAAAGCACTAAGACATTTGCTTCATAATGTGACATTGGGTTTTTTCTTTTTCTTCTCAGACAATGCAGATGTTGCTTTAGTTAATTTTTATGCTGATTGGTAAGTTAAAGTATTTTTCTATGTTTAAACTTCTGTCTTTCGAAAACTGTGTTTTGGCTATAGTTTTCTGATTGAAAATACAGTGGTATGTTGCTTTCAAACTAGTTCGTTCCTGTTTTGGGGTGGTTTTATATCCTGTTTACTACCCCTACTACTCTTCTGTTCTCTTCTGTTTCATTCAGTACTCCTGTCAGGGGGAAGAGGCTTCTACAGTAGTATGGAATATGGAATGTAGTATGGAATATTCTACAGTAGTATGGAATATGCTATGTAATTGATTTTTACTTTTTTTTTTCCATCTTAGAAACTCAGGTTTCATTAAGTTTTTTGCTCCTTAACATAGGAAAGTCCAAAATATTAAGTTTTTCTGTTTTCTTCTTTGATGGTCCCATGCATGTGTGCTAGAAAGAAAAAGGCTCGAAATTACTTTAAAAAATCAATGTCTTCTCTAATCTTGATGACCTTCCGAGTGGAGAACTAGAGAAATTATAATTGAGGGATGAAATCTGAGCAACTGGAAAAGAAGAGAATTTGGGGTGGCCAGACTGATTAGACACTGTGAAAGGCATACTTAGAGGGAACGTTTACTTGCCCCTTTTTTTTTAAACTTGCATAGAAAATCACTGTTGGAATCAATTTAAGCATCATATACCTTTTTTGTTGTTGTTGTGTAAGAAGTAATTTTAAAAGTTCTGTTCTGCTCCACCTTTAATAATTTCAAAAGAATCTTTAGCATTGAAGAAACTAGAAAGGTATTCAGAGAAGATAAAATTTAACATGCAATTTAATATAGAAAATGAGGTTAGAAAAATAAAAATTTTTCTGTCTTCCTTGATTAATCTGGGATGTAAATAGCTTTATAATGTAAAGCAATACGTAAACCGAGGTACTACACTTTAAATATTCTTCTCTGCTGTTTTGCTTTGTGAGCATAAAACACTGGCCTTTCAGAATCAAAGGTTGTGTAGGTGATTAGGTATCTGACTCCTCTGACCTCTTTCACATCCCACTATATGTCGTAAGACTGTAGGTTTGTATGGCCTTGAAGTATCAAGCACACGGGTTTACATGAAAAATTTACACTTTGCCTTTACTAGTAATTGTTCAACTAGCAGCAGGCTAATTTTAATTGTTTATAAAAGTGATTTTGAAAAATTCATACTCAGTCTTTTCATATAGAATTAAATTCTCAGTAAAGATGTTTTGAATGCTTTCATTTAAACTTTGCGTGAAGATAGGCATTATACCAATCTAAATCAGTTTAATAACTTCGTATATACCTCTGTCATTTTATAGACAATTTTTATGTTCCACTGGTTTGCATCTGTTCATTTGCTACCCCAGACTAAATTGATACATTTAAACCAATATAATTTTTCTTGAGAGATTACATTTATTTACAAAATAAGTTGTTTGAAATGTCTGTCTTTATTACAATAGGACAGTGAAGTGATGAGTTAAGTAAGAAACTACGTCTGATCTCTTACCTGTTCTGTGCAGAATTATGCTATAAAGGCTGTTTTGTAAATAAATGAAACTTTAGATACTTGGTTTTAGTTTGCGATCTGCAGATGGATCATGATCTACTTAAAAACATTTTATTAAAGATAACCAAGGAAAGCAAATCTATGGAGAATAAATTTAAAACACTGAAATTTGGGGTCTATGTTGCCATTGAAAAATCATTTTTAGATTTTGTAAAAGACAAACCGCAGGAAGTTAAAAATCCATGTTCTGATACTTCTGTAATAAAGAGAAGAGGCCAGTATTTTAAAATAATGTAGCAAGGTAACAAGCATCCTGTTTTAGGACCTTACTAGCACAGCTCTTTCTCCAACTCCTCACTATTATCAAATGCTCTGTAGAAAAGATTTGCTTTGAATGTAAAGATTTTCATATACTTTGCAAGTTGATTCACATTATAGTAGGCCGTAATTTTAACACATTACAGCCTTATGATCATTACCTGTAGTCATTCAGTAGTATCCCCTTAATATAGCATACTGCCAGCCTATGATGTAACATGGCCTTTGAAAGGGAACAGATTAGTTTCATTGGTGTAGATATTCTGCTGTCAGGGTGGAGAAGAACAAGGGACAAGGAAGCCATATGTAATAAGCCATATATGTAATATATACATGCTATGTAAATGTATATTTGTACAATGTATAATCTGGTGCCAGAGTCAGGTTTCTTTCAGAAAATGGCCTTAAGACCTGTTTGTATTTTGAGAGCAAAACCTGCCTCTTCACTTGAATGTTTGCTGTTGCAGTCATAACAGCATCCTCAGAATATCACTGTTAAGTTTAAGCAGGTCTTCAGTGCAGGCTCTTTTATTGCAAGTCTGATCCATGAGGTCTCATTCTAACAACTTCCACAGTGCCATTATACGTCTTCAATTTAAAATTCTGCCATGTGTTTACAAGAACAGAATATAAAATAAATGTATTGACATTTACTAATAATGGGCTTGTGCACTAGTGTTACCCTAAGCTCCCCAAAGCCACCAAAGCATCTTTACAGTCCTACAGCCTTTTCCATGGGCAGAAAGAGAATATTTGCTTCACAATCTGACATGACTGGAAGAAGGGACTCGTGGGATTCTCTTTGTTCAGTGCTGTAATAGCAGTCTGTTCATTTTCTACCAAACTTGAGCAATAATATAATAAGCAATACTTGTAACTTCTATTGTTGACCCTTATAAAGTTATCTCTGTGATTATTTCTTGAAGGTGATGGTGAATATTTGAATCTTAACAATCCATGTAACTTCTCTTACTATATTTTTAAAATTACTTCCCCGGGGATAATACAGGTAGAAAAAATGAAGAACAGATTTTCTGAATAGAATATACTCCTAAAGGCTTATAATTGATTAGTGGTGTTTCTTAAGCAGATAAAGCAGGGGGCACATCTTGAACTGTATATGCTTTTAGAACTTTTTTTTTCCCCCACCTGAATTATCCAAGTTAATTTTGAACCTGTTTTTATCCAGTCAGTTACTAGGATGATTACAAATAGATGCTTTTCCAGTAGCTTTTCATTCTTTTTTTTATCTCTGAAGGAAAAAGATTGAAATATTTGCTGAGTCATCAATTAAAATATTTCAAATTAATGTTTTGAAGTTACGATTTTGTGTTCTATCCACAGGTGCCGCTTCAGCCAAATGCTGCATCCTATTTTTGAGGAAGCTTCTAACGTAATTAAGGAAGAATATCCAGATAAGAATCAAGTGGTGTTTGCTAGAGTAGACTGTGATCAGCATTGTAAGTAAATCCCAATTTTGTTTTTTCTGGTGTAGCTGTACCTGCCCCATCATTTAGCCCTGAGTTGCTTGTATACATCAGTGAACCTCTTCTTCCAAATTCGTCAGGGCAGTCTCTAGTGTTGCTTCACATTGCATCCATAAACATGCATTTGTATCAGTTCAGCCTGTCTCATTTAATGTGGAAAAAAGGTCTGGGATTATAAACTGAATTGGCTTGTTAAGTTGTCATGAAGCACTAGTGTAGCAAATTGTGCAGGGCTTCATGACTGCGAAGAGGAAGGAGTAACCTTCCATTGTCAGCCTCAAGATTATGTTTTGCTCAGGTCTTCCTTCCCTCTACGTGTCATGGTGGACTGTAAGTTGCCTTTTGTACAGCCAGGAAGGGATCAAGCTTTTCTGCTTTGCTGTTTGTACACATGTCAACAAATAGTTGCCTGTTTGGGTTTTCCCTGTGCCCAGAAATATATGAAAATGATATATCAAAACTTACTCATTTTATGCTGGTATTAATCCCTGAAGTGATTTTTTAATCTCATAATAAGTAAAATGTAAGGAACATCTGCTGTGCATTGAAATACAAATGGATAGCACTGAGATATTTATTCTGGTGCTTTTTGTAGTTATAGGATCAGCTGTATTGTTTTATGCTTCTGAAAAAACAACATTTGCAGGCATAACTTTTTTACAGTGGCTTGTGATTCCCAAAGAATACTAACAGCAGAAATTCAGTTCTAATCAATACTGGTTATAGTACTTGGACTCTACAAAACTGTTCATTTATAAGAAGAGTTACACTTGGAAATGTGAGGAATCACTGTACAGAGTTATTAATTTGTATCTGCAGTGTATCCCTGAGACTTCCCATTGACCTAATGGTTGTGTTTTAGTGCTGTTACAAAACCTCTAAAGAGAGAACTTTATAGGACAGGAAAAAGGTCAGTACATATCTATGAAAAGTAACATTTCATTTACATTTTTCTTTCCATTTTGACAATCTAATTTTTTTTGTTAGAGAGGATTTTTCCCTGTCATGAGAGTTCTTGTCCTGAAGTGTCTTGTTCTTACTTGCAGATTTAACAGTCAGTAAATCCACTTGAGCATCTTCCACTGACACCATTTTGTGCTCTGATTTTGTGTGCATGCATGTAGTTGTCCGACACGAAGAGCACCTGTTGTGTGATTTTGATAGAGATCTCAAGCATTAAAAAAACACCAAAACAAAAAAAAACCAACCAACTTTGAAGGGAGCAAACAGTATCAACTCAGTATCTGAAATATAAAATAAGCTGATTCTTCCAAGTGTCAGGAGTGGCCAAGGATATTGATTTACGTCTTTCCAAAGATCCGTAAAACCAGTTCATGACCACATTACAAACTTAAATGCCTCTGGGATTAAGTCTTTGAATCACTGAGATAGAGGATCCCCTTTATAGCCTTAGCTGGAAAAGAGACATGACAGTATTCACCCAGGGTATGTGAGCAGCTTTGAAGCATTCAGCTTCCTTCCTAACTTGGAGTGGTAGGGATGTGTTTGGGAATTGATAAAAAAGTTTGCACATAGGTGTACTTTAAGAGCAGTTAGTTACCTTAGACACGTGCTTGTAGAATCTCCTTCTCTGAGCAGATCTGGTGCCTTGAATACTGTGTAGAACAGTGCACTTCTGTAACTGCATGCAGGATTTCTAGAGCAGCAGCAGAATGGAGAGGCATGGCTGTACTTAGTGTCTTGCTTCACAAGATATGCTTTAGTCTCCTTGACTTTTATAGTATTTTTTTGTCTCTCATTAGAACGTTGTCTCTGTTAAGTGAATGTTTTCCTAACTCCTTCTTGAACAGCCTCTTCTGGAATCTAGAGGTTTGGGGTTTTTTTGGTTGGTGGGGGTATTTTTGGCTTGGGGGGAGGGGATGTTATTGGTTTTGGTAGTTTGTTTTGTTTGGGTGGGAGTTTTCTGTTTGAGTGGGGGGGGGGG